GGAGTTGTTGGCTCAGCCAAGTGGAGCATGACTGCCTCAGAAGCAGGCCAGTTGGATGCCTGAGTTAGGCACCAGAGAGCCCTGGCAAAGGGGACAGCCAAGAACACGGAGTGCAACAGGAAAGGGAAAGGAATCAGCAGAGTAAACTAACACCCATGACTGGGGGGCCCCAGAGACCTGGGCTGGATTCCTCACTCTGCCACTTGCTGTGTGATCTTTCACAAATTACTGAACCTTTCTGAGCCTCACACCCTCACAAAAATGAGGACTTACCTCATGGGGCTGCTGGGAGGATGAATATGAGATAACAACTGTGATGCAGCCAGCATGCAGCCTTGTATTCAGTAAGTGAAAATGGAAGTGTTAGTTGCTCAGTCATATCCAACTCTTTGCGACCCCAAGGACTGTAGCCTGCCAGGCTTCTCTGTCAATGGGGATTCTCCAGGCAAGACTACTAGAGTGGGTTGCCATTGCCTTCTCCAAGGGATCTTCCCCACCCAGGGATTGAACCCAGATCTCCCACAGTGCAGGCAGATTCTTTTACAGTGCGAGCCAGGGCAGGCCTCAATAAATGGCAGTGGCAGCAGTTACTGCAGGTGGTTGTGCTATTATTTTTATTAATAGGATTATGAATGTGAGATGCAGAGGTGCTGGCCACCACACTGCTGTTTCCTAAAGCAGGAGGCAGTGGCGGGGCTTCTGAAGTGGTTTCTCTACAGCATGTTCCTGTGGTTCCTGCTTCAGAAGGAAAATGTGAGCAGGATGTCCAAAGACTCAGTCTAGCAGACCCTCCATGGTCTGGGTACAACAGTGGGTACTGTTGGCTCTGGTCTCTTTAAACATTCCCTCTCTCCGCTCTCACAATCAAAAGACCTAGTAGTATCTCAGATGCTAGGAAAGGACACGTGCCTTTAAGAGAAAGTGCATGCTGCATGCTCAGTCACTTAGTCGTATCCTCCCACTCTTGGTGACCCCATGGACTCTCTTCGTGACCGCATGGACTGTAGTCTACCAGGCTCCTCTGTCCATGGGATTCTCCAGGCAAGAATACTGGAGTAGGTTGCCATTTCCTTCTTTGGGGAATTTCCCTACCCAGAGACTGAATCCAGGTCCTTTGCATCTCCTACACTGGTAGGCAGATTCTTTACTACTAAGCCACCTGGGAAGCTCTTTAAGGGAGAGACTGGATGGTAGGTAATTCATAGACAAGTAGTTCATAGGCAGGGGAGAGAGGGTCAGGTGAAGGTTTAAAAGTAAAGGGAAGTAAAACTCATTTGCTTATTAGCCTTACTTCAGGGTTATTCCCAAAGGATTTCTGGTAAATTATTTTTATTTTTGTAAGCTTTCTAGGGACCAGGGTATTATAGAGAAATTATAAGAAATAAGTCTCCTGAATTCATTCTACTTTTCCCAAATTTCCTAGCCTCAATCCCTCCCAGCCACCCCTTGAAATAAAGAATAATCAGATGTAACATTGCTCCTTTCCCACTGAGTGGTCTAAAAGATTAGAAAATGATTACAAGTGATTGCTCCTTGTTGGGATTTATGGCTTTTTAAAAGTACATTTTAAATCTCAGTGATTAAGATATGATAATTCTACTTATCTTCTGAAAAGTCCAGCCAGAAGTTTACTTTTTCACCCTAGCTTGAGGGAAGAAGGGACGTGGCCAAGCTTGACATAAACTTTCACATAGTCCTTTACTATTTTGGAGAATCAGCTTTGAGACATTTAGAAATGTCTTTTATACTGTATAATCAACTAGAATTTAGAAAAAAAAAAAAAGCAGTAGCCCTTAGCCAAGGTTTTGATAGGTTTATTGCAAATAATTCTAGTTCCAAATTCTGCATTCAAACAAAACAAAAAAAAGTGGCAGCAGTCTTCTTCCCTCAGGGAAGAGACTCAGAATGACAGCTCACATTCCTCAGTAAATCTATTTTTTAAATGCTCACTTCAAAAGGCTGCCCTTGTGGCTCAGCTGGTAAAGAATCCGCCTGCAAAGCAGGAGACCTGGGTTCGAACCCTGGGTTGGGAAGAGCCCCTGGAGAAGGAAAAGGCTACCCATTCCAGTATTCTGGCCTGGAGAATTCCATGGAGTATATAGTCCATGAGGTGACAAAGAATTGGACAGGACCGAGCAACTTTCAATTTCAATGCTCATTAAAATCCATGGGTAGAGCCTGCCTTGGTTAGGCTCTGTGCTGTGCTAAGTCGCTTCAGTCATGTTGACCCTTTGTGACCCCATGGAGCCCATCACGCTCCTCTATCCATTGGATTCTCGAGGCAAGAATACTCGAGTGGGTTGCCATTCCCTTCTCCAGGGAATCTTTCCGACCCAGGGATCGAACCTGTGCCTCTTATATCTCAGCATTGGCAATCAGGTTCTTTACCACTAGTGCCACCTCAGTTAGGTGCTAATCTGTCTTTAACACCCTTCTTTGAAAGGTATAAATCTTTCCCATATTAAGAAAGGTGTGCAGAGCCCAGGGCAACTGACTGACAGCACAGGGCTGAGGAGGACCTGCTGAAACTCACAGATATCAAAACCACAAACCAGAGGCTCTCTCATTACTCAACAAAAAATTAAAATGAAAATAACAATGCTTTACAGTGAGCTAGCTCAAACGTTGGAGAAGGCAATGGCACCCCACTCCAGTACTCTTGCCTGGAAAATCCCATGGACGGAGGAGCCTAGTGGGCTGCAGTCCACGGGGTCACTAAGAGTCGGACACAACTGAGTGACTTCATTTCACCTCACTTCACTTCATGATCTACGTCTGGCTCTGTCTTCCAGGCAAGAGTGGGGGCAAGACAGAACCAACCCTGTTTTTAAAAAAAATCTCCAGGCAAGAAGACTTCTTAGAAACTTGTGTTTAAGTCTAATTATCTTGGTTATTATGAATCTTTTATATCCAACCTAATTTTTTCCTCTTTATTCTTTAAGACGATTTCTTCCTTGTGGGTCTTTGTAAATAAAAACTAGTAAGGTCTGCTTCATAAATTATAAGTGAAAAGTTATCATGTCATCTCTGTTTATACCTCATGGTAAAATAAGCCCCACTCTCTCTCTTGTACCCAACTTGACGTGAACCACCAAACAGATGTCACTGTCAGCCAGGGTTGCTAGGTGTGGCAGTTGATGACATGGCAGCTCTGGTGTGAGGCTAGAAGGCAAAACCCTGACGGCAGCTCAACAGCCAGGCTGACTGGACACTGCTGGCACTGCCTGTGACAAGCTAAGGCATTCTTCCAGGCCAGTGGGAGTCACTGTTTTTCTCCACAGGCCTCCTCCAGGTGACTTTCCTCTGCCTATGCCTATGGGATTCTGTACCTTCAGGCATGCTGTGTGCTGGTCATCTTCCCTAGAAAGGAATCCTATCTTATGAGTGGGGTGGGGTCTCATGTCCAAAAAAGCACAAATCAAAAACTGCAGTTGATTAAAAGTACCCTTAAAAAATTTCCCACTCATCCTCTTCAGCCTAGGTTATCTCACACCAGAGACTCTTGCTGAAAATAAGGTCACTGATTACAATGAAATCATCAGCTTTAAATTTTTTAAGTATTGATTCCTTTGGCAGATTTTTCTTTTTGTTCGAAATAGGCCCCAGGGGTAAAAGTGTTAGAAACCATTGATGGGCACACCACAGGGAGACTGAAAATGGAATATAATATTTTAACTAAAATTGTTATCTAATACAGCTCAGCACATCTTCTCATGGGCGTGAAGTGATCAATAAAAGTTTGGTGAATGACGGAACAGACAACTTCACCAAAGATGAGAAGGGTTGAGCAGGGTGATAAGCTGAGCTAATTAGAACAGAGATGAACTGAAGAGGGGCGGCATTGGGCTTCACCCTTAGGAAAGAACTCAGATTCTGTGGTCCAAAGCCTTCACTCACCAACATTCTTCAGGCAGGTACTCAGGACCTACTGTGTGCCAGCAAGGTTTTCTGTGGCCTTCTGGACACGTGCTCTTGCAACTGCCACTACGCTGGACCTAGTACCATGAAGCAGCCTTGTCTAATGTGTTCCCTGCCTGATGTGAACTTTGGAAGACAGATGACGTATCTTATTCATGGCACTATCCTCAGTTCCCAGGACAGTGTCTGGCACACACAAGTGGTCAGTAACTACTTGACTGGATGAAGCTCAGAGCATTCAACATCTTATCCTAGAAGAGAACACAGTCAAAGTGCCTCCTGCCTACCCCACCCACTCCCCCTTTTCTGGGTCACTCATCTGAAAAGTAGACAATCCCTGAGACCAGAATAATTCTCCGAATGTTGCCCTTCACTCATCTTTCAGAACCTTCTTTGACATTTAGACTATATACTCCAGAAAAGAATATTTTCCAGATACAAGTGTGGACATTCTCCCCGAGCAGGTCCAAATTCCTAGCCAGCTCTTCCATGAAAAGCTTTTAGCTTGGCCAAAACCCTTATTATTTTTCAAGGGATATCATCTCCCACCATGACAGAATCCCATACCTGGATACCTCTTGGGGAATTCTCTACCAAGAAAATATACCTGGAGATACACTGAGGGCAAGAGCGGCCCAGTGCAGAGTGAGCTGCAGCTATGGGAACCCGGTCATGTTTCTCTTGCTGACGCTGGTTCGTCTAACTTCTGCCCATGAACCCTAATGACTCAGATTCCCTGGGTCACTGCCCAGCCACCAGCACCATGTGACCACCCCAAATACAAAGCCCTGGGTAGCTGGGCACAGGCAGCTTTTCCCAGAGCCCCATGTGTTCAAAGCATTATAATGAAGCCACATTGGTAACCCTATTAATCATGTCAACTTCAAGGGAACAGGACTAAAATACCATCTGGATAGACTCCAATCACACAGTTAGTGAGGACTTGAGAACACCACAAAACACATGTTTACAGGGAAGCAAATGATAGGGAGACAGCTCTCAGCCACCAGCAAGAACCCCAAGGTGAAAAAGAAAGTAATAGCACTGCTACAAAGAGAGGCACGTGATTTTCCTTTAATTACCTTCAGATTTAGGACTAGGAGTAGATGCAGGAAACTGGTAGGTAGGAGTGTAAGGATTGTCCTCTGTAGCAGAGAAAAGCAGTGGATTTTGAAACTATCCACCACCAAGTGGAGGAAGTGACAAATCTCCAATTGACTCTTTCAAATGACCGATTACCTATTTTAGTGTTATTAAAGCACACACGGCATCACACTTGAAAAGAGATTAATGAATTAGAAAGGATTTGGTTATTTTCATATGGCACATCATGCAAATGAGTGAAATAAAATTTCTGCCAACCAAAAATGACTATAAAAAACAAAATCTAAAAGCCAAATCTTATTCTTAAAAATGGAACTATAAGAATTACGTTAAGGCTAGATACACTCTCTAAGTTCATGGTACCTTCAGAATTTTGCTGGATTTCAGGAAGTTCAGGGAATTTGTACGTAGGGAAATAAGGGTTTTCTTCAGGAGTGTCTAGGGAGAGGAGAGGGTTTGGGAGAGAGAATAGAGGAAAATACAAATGGAGAGAATGAACAAACAGAAATCCACACACAATTCAGGCTCCTTGAATTCTGGAACATACTAAGCTTCACCAGTGATGGAAGAAACTCAAACCGCTTTTAAAAATCCAGTCCTTTTGCCTGAATTACTGAGACACCTTTAAAGACACAACATCACTTCTCTTCTTAGACAAAGAATATATACAGGCTCCAAAAAGGAAGAAGAATTCAGTACAAAGCTTCAAACTTTCACCTTTTATAGGCAAAAAAATGAAATATGCTAATGAACAGTGTGTAAAGAAAACGCTATCATCAAATGATTTTTGTTTAAAAAATCAAAGCTCGTGCCATAGACATTAGAATCGGGGCAAATAAGTGGATTCTTAATGTTTCAAACACCTCTCTGCCTAAGGCAGGTAGTTTTGCTCAGAATCTGTAATTTAGGTTGAGTTAAAAGCTATAATATATGAGAAGACCAATGCTGCCTGAGGAGCAGAAATACATATTTTTCACATAGGCACCTGTGTCTCAGTATTCGGGTCACCAAAGCTGGGTCTAAATGTGAGAGAGACACAGAGTGCTGGAGGAAATGGACATTGGCTTCTACAAGTGACCAGTAGAATGGGCATCATCTGAGAGACAGCATGTAGCATCTCCACCATGACTGAGCTCATCTACCTCAAAAAGAATGAATTTACTCCTGGCTCAGAAACACTAAATACTGAGCATCTCAATATTTACAAAACAGTTTGAAGAGGGGCACCCCCAGTTTCGTTCTGAACTCTGCAGGAGCTAATGAATGCACGAGCTGGCATCCACAGTTAACCAGAGAAACCAGTTATCTGCAGCACAGCCTGACCAGACCCTGACCAGAGGCTTTTCCTTTGCCTTCACGTGTCATCTGTGCCAGGCGGCCAGACTGGATTTGGCCACAGGGAAGGACAGGATGCTCTGCCCACTGGAGCAGTGGTACCCTTCCCATGGCACAGCTGCATCCCTGCCCAGCAGCTGACCGGCAGCATAGGAGGATGGGAGCTGTTTGGGAGCGTAGACCTGGGGTTCTCCCACCATGCTGGGTCCCCTGCTGGCAGCCCGGCAGGCCCCTGATTAGGAAGCACTACTCCCCCAGCTTGAGCAGTTTTGTAGTGTCAGCTCTTGACTGTCTCTTGGGGCTACCTGCCAAGTGCTGGCTCCCAGCCGAGGAAGCTGATTTTTCATATTAACACCACCATACAGGTGTACCATGCATCCTACTTCACAAGGCAGAATCTGCCCTCACTTGGACCTTGCAGCTTCCCTCAGAGGGAGGCAAAGGGGACAACACACAGAGAGAGGGGTACATGATTAGTCCAAGGTCACCTGAGTGCTTGGGGAACTAAACCCAGATGAGAACATTTTTAACACCCAGTTCATGCCCTCTCAGCTCGCTCTGCCTACAAGGCAGTCATGGGCTGACACTGGGAGGGTCACCTAAAGCCAGAAGCGGGTGGGAGTGGAAGCTGCTCGCAGTCCAGGCAGGCAGACGCTGAAGGGCACAGGCAGGATGCTGAGCTCAGCCTGCTGCATCCCCAACATCTGGGAGGGCGGGCCTGGGAGCTGCCCTCGGCTCCTCCCACACGTGAGGCAGGCGCAGGAGTTCTCCTGCCCACTCTGTTCTGAAGGTGCAAGGCTGGGCTCAGGCAGGCCAGGGCCTAACGAGGTCAAGCCGCAGGGCCCAGTCTGCCAGCCAAGTGAGTTTAGGTCCTCACTGCAATAGTCAACATATGGGCACAGCACAGTTGCTACAAATGAAAATCAGTACCTCTGTTTAGTTTGTGGATCTGCTTAAACATGGTCTTGTACCAGTCTTTTGATCTCTCGGTGTTCTGAAGAAAAACAAAGAGTAAAATAAAATGAGAATCTCAGCACATTTCAGAACTTCCGGGATTATAAAAGCAACATGCAAAATGACAACGTCTCAAGTCAAACTGCATGTAAGTCTATACATCTTTGTGATCTCTCATTTAAACTCTTCTGTAGAAGTGTATTTAAGCCACCTGCATAGGGCCAGGTATAGAATGTATACATCAAGACATAATCCCTTACAGCATCCAATGCCGGGGAATTTCCATCCTAACCGCAAAGCTGGGTAGTTTTTTAAGATAAAAATAAAACAAGGAAAGAGACAGATAGGTGGTTAGATCAAATACTTTCACTTCCACTTAACAGATGAGAAATGTGATAAAGAAAGTCAAAGTGACTACCTAAGGTCACAGAGCGGGTGAGGTGGTCAGCGGGAAGGCTGCCCAACACAGGGTTAGAAGGAAGGGGCTGCTCAGTTGTGCAATCGGGGCAAGTCATCCTTCCTTAGTTCCCATTTCCTTATCTATAAAATGGGAAAGATATTACTATCTACCTTGTATGGTGAATCATCCTTAAATGAGACAGTGCATTTGGAAGTGGAAGATGCAATCATTATTAGTAACAAGTCTTCCTACCATGTATTATTATTTCTTAGGATCACATAACATTATTTTTTTTTTGCTGTGGTGCATGGCATGTGGAATCTTTTGTTTCTCAACCAGGGATTGAACCTGTGCCCCTTGTATTGGAAGTACAGTGGAGTTTTAACCACTGGAACACCAGGGAAGTCCCACATAACAGTTCTTTTGAGGTTTAGTCCACTGCTGTTTCCATCAGCCTCTCCCCAAGGGACACAAAAACCTGTCCTTTGCTCAACGGAAATCACAGAGAAACACACCCCAGGCAGGCACATGGAGAGGGATGGGATTCACCCCAATCCAGCTTCAAAAGTGAGGCATCCCTGGGAACCTAGGGTCTGCAGGAGGCTGGTGGGTCTGCAGGGTGGGGAGGGTTGGGGCAGAGCTACTAAGAGAACCACCCTGTCCGAGGCCCTGCAAGCTGAATGCACCCTGTAAGTCCCTCAAGTTTCCTACTCTCCCCGGATAAGGAGGTTATCTCCCACCTCTCCACCAGGGGAACTTCTTCCTGAACCCGCTGTAGCAGGGACCCTGAGCCTCACACCCTGCCCAGGGTTCTCTAAGCTTGGACCACAGAATGATGATAAAGGAGATGGGGAAATAGGGCCCCAGCCTCTCAACAAATAAATAGCCTTTCTGTTCTATTGCACAGAAACCACTCTGCCTTGGTTCCACCAGCTTCTCCCCACATTCATCTCACCACAAAACCCTGTTCTCCTGGATTCAGTCACAGCTAACATATGCCTTAGGAAAAGCTGTTGCTCAGCTCTTAGAGGCTCCACAGGCCTCTGTGGGCTTGAAGAGGGGAGAGTGGTGAGCATTCTCCTTTTGGGGTCTCTGCCACCCACAGAGGGAGTTCACGTGGACTCAGGGTCACCAGCTTAGGACAAAGCCTAGGAAGGACTTCCAGGTCCACACTCGTACCCGGAGTGGGATGCCCACTTCATCCATGCAAACATCGCTTAGGTCCTGAGTGCTCTTGGCCGCCTGCCGGCTGTCATCCTTCGCCTTCCTCTCAGAAGCCCTGCCAGGGGAGGTGGGTTTTTCCTGAGCTGGTGCCAAGTCCTGCTCTCCCACTCTTCTTTCCGAGGCAGGATCTGGAAAAGAAAAGCAACCATTAACTGAAGCTCTTGTGGTAGCGCCAAAGCAAATTCCCCCCAAACAATCCAGCTGGGGGAAAGTGTGTTTGCCAATTTGGAGCTGTGTTTTGAGCAGGGGTCAGCACACCAGGGCCCAGCCCCCAGCTTCTGTAAATAAAGTTTTATTAGAACACAGCCACAGCCTGCGCCAACACGTTGTTTATGCCTGCTTTGGAGCTACAACGGCAGAGCTGAGTAGCTGCGACAGGAACCATATGGCCTGCGAAGCGTAACATGTTTACCATCTGGTTCCCTTTTTTTTTTCTTTTTGTATTTATTCTTTATTTATTGAATGAAAGATTCTTTAAATTCTGCAGTGTTTTATAAATTTTTAAAGTTCCACACACATGATTTCATATAATCCCATAACTCTTTCTCCCCCTACCCTTAAATACTGCCCCTCTCCACACTAGTAACCACTAGCTTATTCTCTACATCTGTTTGCTTTGCTTTTTTCACTAGTTTGTTGTATTTTTTAGAGTTCACATGTAAGTGATATCATCAGCATTTGCCTTTCTTTGACTTATTTCACTTAGCACAGTGCCATCCAACTCCACAAATGTTACTGCAAATGGCAAATTTTCACTTTTTATGGCTGAGTAGTATTCCACTGTATGCACACACCACATCTTCTTTATCCATTCATCTGTTGATGGACACTTGCATTGCTTCCATACCTTGGCAACTGTAAATAATGCTACTATAAACACTGAGGTGCAAGTATCTTTTTGAATTGGTGTTTTTTTTTCTTCAGCTATATACCCAAGAATGGAATTTCTAGGTCATGGGGTAGGTCTATTTTTCAGTCTTTTCAAGAAAACTCCATACCATTTTTCACCCATTTGACCCTTTTAAAAAATATGTAGACAGTGTGGTAAGTGCCCTACAGAGGTTTTTACCTGGTGCTCTAGAAATCCAGGTAGTTTTGACTCTTCTAGGAAGTCAGGGAATAGGTAAATCCACAAGAGAGTAGCCAAACACTACTTGAAAGTTCTTGTTTCACCTTGGGGAAGTCACTTAACTTTTCTGTTCCTCTGTTTTCTCATTCAAATATGGGGATAACACTTCAACTGGCCAGCTCACATCCACATGTTAAGGTCCTAATAAGATAGCTTATACCAAGTGCTCAGAAAACAGTAAACTGCTAAAAGGACATTAAGGTTTATTTAATTCAATTCAGGATCAGAAGTTACAGAGAGCTAATAAACATACCATGTGTGGTCTATAGATTATAAACTTAGTGTATTCTGTTATTCCAAGGCATGTTATTTATTTGCAGAGGGCATTTACTAAGTAAGAACCTGACAGGTGCTATGTGTTCACAGGCACTGTGGATGCTATGCATTCACATGTGCTGTGGATGTGGGGGTGCACCTTTCCTAGCCTGGCCTTCAAGGAACTCATGGTCTAGTGGCAGAAAGATCAGGACAGCCAGCAAGAGAACAGAGGTGACCAGGGCTGACAGAGGAGTCTGCACCCAGGTCAGCCAAGGAACTGGGGTTCAGGGCCACCTCTCAGAGGAGGGGTCAGTCAGACACATACAGGAGGGGAACAGTGCTCCCAGCAGAGGGAACAGCATAAGCAAATGCCAGGGGCCCCTGAACTTCTCTGAGCTTATCCTGTGCCAGGCATTGTGTTAAGCTCTTCAAGTTCATAATCTCATCTCATCCTTCCAATAACCCTGTGTGGAAGAAACTACCATCATCCCTCCATCTACAGGTAAGGGGAAAAAAGCACAGAGAAGTCAGGTTGCCTTCCTGAAGTCACACAGCAGCACGTGGTCAAGCTAGGATTTGGCCTCATGTCCACCTGACTTCAGTGGTCCTCTCTGAGCCACATCCTATCTGGCCTTGCTCAAAGAGGGGACCAAGGTTTTGCACTAGAGAGACTGCTGATCTAAACAGAGAAGTTGGGAAAGGGAAATGGGCTGGAGAAGGCAGGGAGATGGCTACCTCCACACCTTGGACAAAGTAGAAATGCCATGGAGACACTGAAGAAGTATGAGAGCAAAGCCCAGGAAGAGGTCCCAGAAGAGGGTGATTCTGGAGCCATCAGCACAAAAGTGATGGCTCAAGGCAAAGAGATGGATGAGGTCAGCAGAGGAGGTGAGAGCAGAGTTAAAGGCCAAAGTCACATAGTGAGGAATGTCATGGTTACAGGATGAAAAACAAAAAGAAAAAAAAGGCATCCCAGAAGCTTGCAGGAATCACTGGAGGGATAGGAGATGAAACCAGAGAGGAACAAGCAAGTGTCCCTGAAACCAAAGAAGACAGAGTTCCAAGAAGTGGGATGTTAAATGCGTCAGAGGAAAAAAGAAAGATAAAGCTGAGGAGGCAGCATTACCTTAGGCAAAAAAAAGAGTCACAGGATCACTTGGGAGCAAATTTCAGGAGAGGAGTGAGGGGAGATGCCAGGTGGCAGGGAAAGGGAGGAATCTGTGAGCGGAACTGGGCAGGAAGTAGGAGCATGGGAGGAAGGAGTGTGTCAGGACCTGCCCAATCTCCAACAAGCTTTTGAAACAAATACTCATTTTGGGGCCGCAGAGAAATTTCTAAATGTTCTGTGTGAGACAACTTTGTGAGTGCTTCAGAAAACTCCATCATCTTTTTTTTTTTTTTTAAGATATAGTGATTTATTCATTAAAATGATTTCTCATAGCACTGATTTTTTAAATTTTTATACAGTTTTTAAAGGTTATACTCCATTGACGTGTGCTGAGTCACTTCAGTTGTATCCGACTCTTTGCAACCCTTAGACTATAACTCGCCAGGCTCATCTGTCCATGAGATTCTCTAGGCAAAAATACTGGAGTGGGTTGCCATGCACCCCATTTATAGTTACTACAAAACATGGTACGATCCATCCTTGTAGCCTATCTTACACCCAATAGTTTGTATCTCCCACTTGCCCTCCTTCTCCCAGGTTACCACTAGTGGGTTCTCTACTTCTCTGAGTCTGCTTCTTTCTTGTTTTATTCACTAGTTTGTTGCATCTCTGACATCATCACCTTATGCTTTAAAGGATGCTAAGATTAGACTGGTTTTATGGGATGAGTTCTCAGGCTCCCAGGAAATTCTAACAGGAGGGTTCAAGGATTTGGCAGGAGGCCTGGGAGGGTGGGGGGATGTCAGGGTGGGTGGATGTTGACTTACCAGAGTTCACCCTTAACATGGCTCTGCTGAACACTCTCCTCCCCCCTGGAAAAGCTTTGTCTAAGTGTGATCAGGCAACACAGATGAGGCCGATTTCAGGCTTAGAGATGCTCTCAGTCTGCACCCTCTACTGTCGTCTTTTCAGGGAAAGATCACAGATATGCCAATCTCAGCATTTCCAGACCCAGAGTGACTCTTAAGAAATTGTTAGGGCAGGTGGTTCGAGCAACAATCACTTAATTGCAAACTCAAGCTGACAGCCCATGGATTTGCTCCCAAGCTGCCAGCGTCCTTTTGATCTACAAAAATTAGCTCTGAATGATTTTATTTTAGGAGCCTGTGATCATGTGACTAGTGATTGACTGGGTTTCAATACACAGAGGGCTGAACTGCAGCCTCTAAAGAAATGTTTCTTTATACAGTGGAAACCCAAGGTGGCACTTCACTGTACCACGCAGGTAACAGGGCTACCCTCTGACACCTTATGGGTTACAGTGAAGTCTTGCTGCTATTTCTCACTAGGCAAACACATAACATCCTGGAGCATTTCCTTCTAGTTTTATACTGTGCTTTCAAAGGCAGGTCCTGGAAAGGGCCACTAAAAAAAGGATGCTGTTGACAACCTGGACAGGGCATCTGTTTGTGAGAGGTGGAAAAGCATTCCTATTCTTTACACCCAAAGCTCTGTATTGAGGAACACAGCCACACTTGCACTTTCCTCGGGGAAGGGAGGGTGACCTCTCTGTACCCTATGCTGGCCCCTCTGTCCCAGCCTTTGTTTTCTGGTCTTTCTACCCAGGGGACAGGAGCTTCATGAGGCCAAGTCCCAGGTCTCATTCCTGGATGAATCTCATTGAACATGAAGCCCCTTAGAGGTTCAATACAAAGTCTGTTATGAAAGGGAGGCTGGTGGTCCTTTCAGGGCCCATCACCACTGAGGCGAGGGGCAAAGCCCCACTCTCCTTACTCCAGAGCACCAGCCCCACCAGCCCTCTCTCCTGCAGGAGCTTCTGAACAAAACAGTGCTCTTTCTTTTTAAACAAAAGTACTTTTAGTGAGCACCTATGTCACGCCTCACTCTATCAAACACGATCGGTGGATCTGTCCCAAAACTAGAGGATAGAAGCACTGGGCTTATTTTAGAGCAGAGGAAGTGGCCTGAATCTGCCAACATTAAAGAGAAGCCGTGATATTCACAAAGCACCTTCCAGGGTGCAATGCACATATCCCCTTCCTATCACACAGGAGCCCTTATTGTTGCTGTTCAGTCACTCAGTTGTGTCCAACTCTTTGCGACACTATGGACAATAGCCCACCAGGCTCCTCTGTCCACAGAGTTCTCCAGGCAAGAATACTGGAGTGGCTGCCACTTCCTTCTTCAGGGGATCTTCCTGACCCAGAGATCAAACCCGTCTCCTGAGCTGGCACGTGGACACTCTACCACTGAGCCACCTGGGAAGCCCCACGGGACCCCTACAGTGCCTCTCTGAGGCAGGAGCGAGGATTACCAAGCCTATTCCCATACAAGAAAACTGGTTCAGAGAGGTGAAGTCACATCCCCAGGGCCAAACAGCTACTGTAAAAGAAGGAAGAATGAGGACCAAACTCTGGGTCCCTAACTTGTGCTGAGGTGCCCTTTCAGACTCCCAAAGGCAGGAAGGCGCCCATAGGAGCTCCTTTTCAGAGCCACCCTATTCTCAGCCACCTGGGCTAGAGCCAGGGAATGAAGTGGGCTGGAGCAAGGCAGCTCCTAGAGGGGCCACAAAGGGCACCTCAGCTCGTCCCCACCCTGAGGCCAAGTCCCGATAAAGCGGAGAGGGTGTGAGAACCCTGTATCTTCTCTGCCGGGCTCTCCACGAATCACAGGGACAGCAGTAGGAGGAAGGGACCCAGAACTCATGGAGCAGCTGCTCAGGAAAACAGTGCTTCTGTTATTCACCAGATCAGGGTCCTCAAGCCCAGAGTTCATGAGCATCTGCAAATCCACCACATGTCATGTGTTTGCATAGGTGTGGTTTTTCCTGGAGCCTGAATCTACTGCCTTGTTTAGAGTCTCCAAATGAGTCTATGACCAAGGTTACAAGCCATGATCCCACACCATAAGCTGCTCCAGGGAAGCACAGTTCCCTGATATAGCCCCAGATCCTGGCTGGGTGCCTGACGCCGAGGCGTTCAATACAATAACAAGTGAACCAATGGAGGCGCCGACTGGCAACAGTAACTCACGTCTATCAAGCACTTACGAGCACCAGTGCTCAGCTGTTGACAAGCAGAACCCAGAGGCACTACTGCTTTCCCTATTCAGCAGATAAAAACCGATTTCATAGTTTAGATCATCAGGAACCTGCTTAAGGTCACACCGTCAGTAAGTGGGAGAACCAGGATTCCGGCTACACTAAGTCGGAAGGAAATGCCTAAAACATTCCCATTCCTGGGCTCCCTCCCCACCCCAACCTTGTCCCAATTCTGCACACTTTATCAAAGAGTGAGCCCTGATACATGATTATACTTGCAATCACTCCCTGCCACTGCTGACCCTTGAAGAAACTTGCAACTCTGGTGCAGTCATTACAGAGGGCAGCACTAGAGCCACCGGGCAGTTGATGAGAAATGCAACTTCTCATCTATACCCACGATACCCACTCTCTGGAGGAGTGGCCCAGGAATCCGGGATTTGGCCAGCTCTCCAGGAGGGTCTGATGCCCCCTCAAGTTCAAGAGGCAGTGCTCTTCTGCCCTCTTCCAGGCACTGCTGGTCTGGAGGCGCTCCCCTAGGTCCATCATCACAGGGTCACCTACTGGCACTTGGGGTTGCCAGCCAAAAAGAAGAGGACTCACCACATTCCCCAGTCCCAAACCTGTCACATCCTAGAAGACAGACAGAAGCAATAGGAAGGTGCCTTCTTCAATGACACTGGCCAGGAACACTCCATCTAAAGCACGATTCCTTGTTGCTTTTATTCAGAATGGAATGTTTTTACCCATCAAGGTACTTGTCACAGGCCCACTGGACACATGTACTAGTTTGTACCATCAGGGTACGGCTACCAATCTGCAAGTTCCAGGGAGGCAGCCACCATGCCTGTTTTGAGCATCCTTGTAGCCAACAGTAAGCTGAGTTCCCAACACATCAGAGAAGCTCACAAGACTTCACTGACTGAACACATCAGGTGGAGGCCAGAAGACGGCTTTAGCAGGAACACGTGTTAATGTGTAAATAAATATTTCTCACCTACCTGAAAGGCTACTGAGTCGTTTCTGCTGTTCTGTGATAAAACAAAAAAATACACAGTTGTAAGTGAGATTTACACAGACACAGTAAGACCAAGAAGTCCTGGCACAACTCGTTAGGATCCCCAAATCCATGTCTCACTGTTCTTTGAGCTTAGATGCTAAACTGGTGTGTAGTTCGGCTGAATACAGGGGTATTAATGTGGCGTCATGACCTGGGTGTAGTGTCTCCTGTCCCTCTCCCCCCAGGAATCAGAGAACTGTCGCTGTTTTCTGGTTGTTTACATCCGGTATTAAGGTGATCTGATCACTGAAGGAGACCCCCAGCTCCCCTGGTCTCAGGAGAGCAGGACCTTATACATCCCAGTCTTGGTGCTGCTGAGAAAATGGAATCATGACCATGGCCACTACCATCTGAGAGCTTCTACATGCCAGACACTGTTTTCAGAGCCTTTCACTCATGTTAAAAGGCTTTTAATCTTCACAATAACCCTAGCAGGTAGGTCAGCACTGCCTGAGAGATCTCAGTCAAGAGGCACAAACTGCCCAAGATGACAGTGAAAATCAGAGCCGTGTCTAGAACCTGGGTCCCCCACGTTTCTTTTCAACTCCCCAATCACCAGGCCCGGCTGTTTCTTAACATCAGAGGTCCATTGGTTTCCCATCCTCCCAGCACCCTCACAGAGGGGAAGCCAGCATCTCCTCTGGAGAGTTTGGTGTGTACGTGCTTTGGGATAAGCACAGAAATGACCTTTACCTTCTACAGATGCTAAATATAAAGCAGCCACAAGTATAAAAATAGAACACTTGCCAGCCCCTGGGTGCTGTCATCATCCCCCTTGGCTGTGTCCCCACCCTCCTTCCAGAACCAGCGTGGCAAGAAGTAAGCAAGCAGCAGAGGCGCTCACGGCCGGTGGAAGCCGCCGTGTTCATGTCAGGCACACGGACGAGGTTCGCACCGGCTAGACCACAGAGGCTCAGCAGAGCCCCAGCTCAGCTCTGACGGCAACCTGTCAGACGGCACTGACCAATCACATAATGCCTCAGCCTCAGTTTCCTTCTCTGTTAAAGTGCTCATTGAATCTATGGTTCCCGAATGCTGGTCTCCAAGCTGCAGGCAAGGCCTTCCCCAGCAATCAAGAGAATGTTTACTCAATTGACGAGATGACGTGGTGTCCTGCCTCTGAGGTGTGGGATAGCCTTTCTTTCCAAGGAGATGCGTGCAATGCGGACCACAGCAGTTGCTTTTCAGGAGTGTTATTTAGGGCAAAGTTAGAAATCAGCAATCCTAGGGTGGTCCCCAGACTGTTTCACATGACCATGAGATCCAGGAATTTGGGACCACCAAGCTCCTGTCCCCCAATCTGGTCCATGGATATGTCTTGCAAGCTTGCTAAAATATGCAGAACCTCTCCCCAAACCCTCCCCTCTCACACACCAAAGACGTTCTGAATCCAACTCCCAGCATTCTATGTGCACTGTGACCAAGAACCTCCCAGGCACCCAGACCCTCTCTCAGTCCTGAGAGTTTTCCAGTTCAAACTCTCCTCCCTAGACTGATGGTAAGCCATCTGCCCTCCAACACATGTGGGGTGGGAAACCCTGGAGGGAGTGATGAGAGCTACGTTTACACAACCGTGAGAGCCAGGCCAGAGGTGCAGCTGGGGCCGCCTGGCTTGGGGAGACAGCGTTACTGTCATATTGGGCCCCTGGGCAGCCAGGGCAGGAACAAAGGGAACCTTTTCTACGATGACTACACCAGAATTCTAAAAGTGGAGTTATCATTCCCTCAGGAGACTTTGCAATAGTTAAACTGCTTTTCATGGGTACTGTTGATGTGGCAAAGCAGGGCTGCCAGGGCGGATACATTCCAAAGCAAAGCCAAAAACGCCTGCCTTAAAGCAAGCTGATGACTCATGAGCCAAAGCTAGGCCCACTAGGGGTTTCTATTCTCCTGCACTTTTCCCACCTCCTTAAGGAGCTTATGGTTTACTGTTTATGGGAAGTTATCTTTTAATTCCAAAGAATGAAGGTACTTGAACCCTTTTCTGAAGGACATGTGATTCAGGCTGCATGGTTCTGATGCAGGACATGGGACAAAAGAGAAAGGCAAGAACCAAAGGCATCTGAGTAAACAAGATTCCATCTGTTCAGGGAAGAAACAAAAAGAAACTGCAGGCACTACTGTGCCCAGAAACGTCTCACTAGGTGTCATCAGAAGCAGCTGGCATTACACTTGGCATTTCCCAAAAATCAAGTTGCCTTGGGAATAAATCCTGTCTTTAGAGAAAATGCCTTTCCTTCTGGGAACTAACTAACTTGCTTCTTTTTGAGTGAGTTTTTTTGTTTTTTGTTTAAAAAGATGAGTCATAAAGAAGTTCATAGAGAACCAAAATTTCACTTTGTCCTGCATAATGGACACTTTCTGGGCAGAAAAAGCTACTGCCAGTAAGGGGTATCCCACTGCTGGAAGGAAAATGGGCTCTTATGTAGCTTGGTGTGGGGGTTGGGACTCTTTATCCTTTGAAGGACACAGATTCATGGGTGAAAATTAATAGCAGAGCCTCACAAAATGAAAAAACAGGATTACTAAAATAACTAAGATTTGAGTGGGAAGATTTTAAGTGAGAGAAAATGTTTCAATCATCTGCTTTTCAAGTTAGAGACAGGAAACAGAAGAATTCCATTTAATATGGAAAACAATTAAAAATAGACTCCAGTCGATTTTCATCCAAGTTAACACAGAGAGGGAAGGGCAGGGAGGAAAACTATGAAGTGGGTGAGCAGGGAGTCAAGGAAGCTGAGCTCTGAATAAAATGATTAAACCTCCACTGTGTTTTGAAATTCAGACTCAAGAGCCCCTTTCACATTAGGAAACTGCTTTAAAACTTTACATTTTACACTGAAAAGGACTTTTGTAAAGGGAAAGTTTATTCCCGTAAGGAATTTCAAAAATGAAAACTTTCAGGACTTCCTAGGTAACCAGTGGCTAGAACTCTGTGCTCCCAGTGCAGGGGGCCCAGGTTTGTTCCCTGGTCAGGGAAATAGACCCCAGCATGCTGCAACTAAGACCCAGTGCAGCCAAATAACTAAATTAAACTTTTTTAAAAAAGGAAAACTTGGGACTTAGAATCATCTTCTGGCATTTCAAAGCAGAAAGGTCATCATATGCAAGATTACCTCAAAGCACTCTGTTTCCCCTAAGACACCCCTTCAGAGAAGGGGAAGAACCAACCAGAAGCAGAAACTCTAGAAAACAAACAGGAGAGTCCTCAGCAGCGCTGTCTGAGGCCACATAGCATAAGGGGCAAAGAACCGCCCCAACCCCAAGTCCCCAGAGGGCACTGCTGAGGGAGCACCCAGCGCAGTGACTTCTGGAGAACGGAGGCCATGAGTCACTAAGAGAAAGTTCAAAAGCTTCTGTTGTAGAGATACAAAAACAGTTTCTATTTTAGAAAATTTCCCATCCGGTAGGTTTTCTTTCTTTTATTTTTAATTTTGATGTTTGAAATTTTGCTTTCTAGAAATTCCATGTCACAGAACTACAGGATTTAGAATGGTACTTAAAAGATATGACGGCACCAAGATTTTCCCAGCAAAGCTCTGACTAGAATTCCCATGACAGGAATTAAGGGGCAGACATTGTCCTTTCTGTCTTTTCTCTCTTTTTGGAGCTCCCAACTGAGAAAAACTGAATACCCAGGCTTTGGGACACACGTCACCTACTTACTCAGACACCTGGCCTCACCCCCATAAGGGGGCCTCTGTCTGCGGCTTCGATCTACTCTGTGGGTCGTGGGAGTGAGTGAACCGGGGCAGGTGGCCTCGGGAAAGAATGGGATTTGTGAAAAATTCTGTGGAATGGCAGAATCCTTGCCCCAAACATCACAGGACAGCTAGGCTGATTCTGGCCAGCTGGGGGAAGGGTGCACCTCGCAGACCCCTTACCTCGATTGTGTTGCAAGAGCACAATAGTGGGATTGACAATTGTCGTGGAGGGGTAGGCAGACGATGGCTTGCTAACTGATGCAAAGGTCTGGGAATCAGTTCCAGCGTGGGATGAGGAAACTTCATTTAACAGAGGACTCGAGTCCTGAAAAGGAAGCAAACATTGTCACTCAATGCAACTACATGAAACCTGGAGATAAGGCCTTGTAAAAAGAAGAGATTTAAAGCTTTACAAGGATCTTAATTATAAAAAGAAATGTAACCAGTGAGACATGTTGATTCCAGTTAGAAGTTTAATGTGGAATGTTTATTCTTTTTGTTGGGATTAGTAAGGGGAGAGAAGGAAGGTGAATGTTACTCGAAGTCTCAGCAACATCATTCATTATTTTCATCTGGTCATAACTGTGGCTCAATCCGATTACTGAAAAAGCAAATTCAAATCGAAGTAGCATAACATGCAAAACTCATGCAATCCACAATGCAATTTGAGAACAAGAGCTGGTTTAATTGGGGGAAAATCAGGAAAGTTTAGTACTTATGTAAAGAAACACTGAGATGCTGTGAAGACAAGAAGCCATCGACATATTAATAAGAACAGGGAAGAGTTAAGTATTGGAACTCTTGGAAAGCTGTTCTCATCTGTACCACTGAACAACCCTACCAGCACTCACTTCTAGGACATTATCTGGTCCTACTGTGGCATTTTTTCACTCCAATATTGAGTCACAGAGATCTCTGAAGACTTATGAAAATCCTGATTTTGAGAGTCTGAGGTGTCTGCCAGAAGTACCAATAAAATTTTTACTACTAATGTTACAATCTGCATAATGGGAATCATATCAGTCTTCTTAGAGACATGAAAATAAGATCTCAAAATGTAGTAAGGATATGTAGTTTCCTCTATCACTCCTATAAATTTTGCAAAGTTTCCATTTTGAAGCTTACAGACCCTAAAGTCAGAATAAAAGGTTTGAAGAACAAGACTGATAGTTACCTTCTAGATAAAAGTGTAGCTCCAAGCAATCAGTATTCTCCACCAAAGACCAAGGACTCTATAAGCACCTGTAGGACAGGGGCCCCGCTTCCCTTTCTTATCTTCCACCTGCACCTAGCACAATGCCCTGTGGACCTCAGTGCTCAGTAAATGCCACATGAATGAGAGGAGACATCTACCAGCTACAACTTCTGTAGCAAGGGAACACATGCCCATCAAAAGAGAGGATATGCATGTCAGCACCCAGGACAGCTCCTGACACACAGTAGGGGCTTCCTTAAAAATACTAGCTTGGTCAGCCCACCTTTTCTGAAAGTGCTCTAACAGCTGTTAGTTATGAGTGGCAGCTCAATTTAGTGAATAAAACCTTTCCCCAAGACTCAAGAGACAAAATATGATCTTGGACAAAAGTGCCTCACCTCATTTCTTTCTTTTGCATAGTGGAAAAACAACTACACTTGTCCTCATTTACTTTCAAAGTGATGTAATAAAGACAAATGACATAGCAGTGTCAAAATTCTGCCTCAATGAATCCAAGTAACACACAAAAAATCAGGCATACAGCTCTTTAAAGTGTAAGTGCCTGGGTGGATCACGTGAACATTAAGCATCTCCTAAATTTTACTTTGGCATAAATCTTATTTCTGGAACATCACAAAAATGACTATTGACTAAAAGAACTTGGATCAATTAACATGAAATTTTCTTCCTTGTTACTCTTCAATCACTGCAAATGGAGCAGATATAAACCCACGGTTTGCCCACCATCCACAGGAGCTCCTGTTTGTCTTGATAATTCTCACTCAATGCAGGAATCTGACCAGTTTCCTTTTTCACCTCTTACTCTGTACCCAAGGCCAAACCAGAAGTTATCAGGCCAAAGGAACTCCACCTGGGAAGTACAGACTTCCAGGCTGACCAGACAAGTATGAGAAACTGAAGATACTGACCCAACTAATCTTTCCTGGCACACCAGAAAAAAACTCAATATGAAAATCTAGATATACGCAAATAACAAAGAGTAGAATCCTCATGCTCAGTCACCTCAGTCATGTCTCTTTGTGACCCTGTGGATTGTAGCCCACTAGGTTCCTCTGTCCATGGGATTCCCCAGGCAAGAATACTAGAGTGGGTTGCCACGCCCTCCTGCAGGGCATCTTCCCAATCTGCATCTCCTGTGTCTCTTATGCTACAACAAATTCTTTTACCATTGAGCCACCGGGGAAGTCCAAAGTGTAGAATACACAACAGCACTACTCAGGATGATACTCTAGTGCCATAAAAACAAGACTTGCTTTACATGCTGCTCCAGAGAAACATTCCCTGCCTGTACTTTCCAAAACAAGAGTGGCTTCTAAATTCATCTCTAAGTTGAGCTGGGGTGAGGAAAGTGCATCAGTGAACAATGTAGCACCTTTCTCCAACAGAGTTGAGTGGCAAGGCTCAAAGCTAGGATATCCAAGCCCCTGGGCCACATTTGGCCAGGTCCTCACCTAACCACTGGGTTTCCCTGGTGGTTCAGTTGGTAAAGAATCTGCCTGCAATTCGGGAGACCCAGGTTTGATCCTTGGGTTGGGAAGATCCCCTGGAGAAAGGAATGGCTACCCACTCCAGTATTCTTGCCTGGAAATTCCATGGATGGAGGAGCCCAGAAGGCTATAGTCCATAGTGTCACAAAGAGTCGGACACAACTGAGTGACTCACACTTTTCATTTAATAGCATCACATTATATCTAGAGGTCTGAGCAGAGGACCAAGCCCGGGATGTAGCCTTTCTCAGCTTTTTATTTGATACCTCACTGTAATTTCCCTTACAAGCCAAAAAACAAGTTTACTCCCTGCTCTCTGCATGACTGGATAATGTTTAATGAGCCACTGGAGCCAGTTTGGTAGGCATACCTCTTTAAGGAACATTTAGTTACATCAGCCAATTGCATGACCACTAGGTCACTACATCTTAAAATGTGGTCCACAGATCATCAGCATCAGAATTCCCCCTGATGCCTATTACCAAGTCTCAGTCCTCAGCCCCTCTCCGGACCCACTCAATCAGAAACTCTAGGAGTATAACTCAGAGGATCCCATGAGCACTACACTCGAGCACCCACATACCACTCAGATAAATCCTGTTCATGGTTCTGCCCACAGCATTTAGCAGAATACCTAGAACATGACCAGAACTCAATGATGAATGGTTAACTAGCTAGATACTTATTTTTGAGGGGCTCTGGCTCATTTGCTAGGGCATGCCCTCAGCACCAAAGCTGACATTTACTGAGCACGCTCTCTGTGCCGAGCCCTGAAAAAGAAACTTCTCTGTACTTGGTCCCACTGCACCCACAGCCCCAAGAGATCCATGTGTCCCCATTTTATGACTCACACGGAGGTTCTTTCGGTCTCTCGGTTCCCAGGGCTCCTGAGAAGAGAACAGACTGAGTCCTTGGACTCAGTCTTTCCTCTAAAGCTCTTGGCTTTCCCACTACGATGGGGATGCGTCCCTCGCAGAGCAGGACCTGAAGTGTCAGGACACTTAACTTCCCATGACCACTGAAGCACTGTTTTGCCTCAAAATTCCCTGGAGGCCACTATGCAGGGGCCTCAACAACGTTCTTCCTTTTGAGGAAGCAGTGCTAACACTTGTACCAGGCTTGTCTCTCCATGTACTCAATTAAACTCCTTTTTTAAAACCTGGTCTCTGCCATTGCTGTATATAAAAGAAAGCCTGCTAGCTTGCAGAATCAACAAGAGTGAACCTCTGCCTCCCCTAGAATCTCCCTGCTCCCTGCTACAGAAATGGTGAGCACCGTGCCTACTGCTGGCTTTTGCACACAATTTTGCAGCTCTCCTCAGCTCTCCACACTACATCTGCCCGGCCCCCCAAAGAGCACAGCTAGTCCAAGGAAAGGCCACGGAAGTGGTTTTCTCTGCAGGAAGGTGTGCATTCCAAACAGGACAGAGAGGAACAGCATCTAGACAGACTGGTAAACAGCCACGGGGGCCCATGGAACACACAGGGGAGGCATGCTCTAGTGAAAGCAAAGGCGGGCCCGGTCATCACACAAACACAGGGCGGCCGACATCTCTCTCAGAACTTAGTACTTCAGTGAAAAAGGGGTTGGGGTTGGTTTGCTGGTTTTCTTACTGCCGGGAGCAGACATTCAGGAAAGCTGGGAGAAAGGGGATCCCGCAAGCTTACGGTACTTGAAACAGCTCCCGTGAGGTCAGGCTCCGAGACTCTGCGGAGGCCCTCGGGGACCGGAGGGACCAGCGGAGGCGGCGGTGAGAAGGACGGTGGAGTCTGGCTAGCTGGGGGGAGGGAGCCAGGGGCGCTGGCTGGCTGGCTGTGGTGGGGCCGCCTCTGCAGATGAGGGGGAATGAAATCGTCTAGAGTCGGGAAGGTCAGAGGTGAGCCGGCAGGGGCGGCCGCTGGGACCGGGGGGCCGTGGGGCCCCAGAGATGCTGGAGGTCTGTCAGCGCCTTCGTGCCCTCTGTCGGTATTAACCCGGTAGAGAGGGACAACTATTACCTCAGGCGGGGCTGGGCTGGAGGAAGTGGCGCCCTGTGGGAAACAAGGGGGTCGTTACGTGAAGGGGAAGCGCAGAGAAGAAGGAATTCCATATCTAAACAGTTGAGAGTGGACATGCAGTGAGGTACTCTGAGAAATATTTAATCAGTGCCCTTTTCTCCGAGTACACGAGACAGTCAGCACTAGCCAGCTGGCCTCCTGACTCTATGACACAGAGGGAACCCCATCCAACTTTACTTTCCACCCATCTATTTTTGAATCCTTTTAACACTTGAGAGAGAGAGAGAGAGAGAACAACAGGCAGGCAGGCTGTATTTAACCCCCAAAATGGCTTGCAGAGCCTGAAAGCTTGGGAGTGAAGACCATTTCTCTGGCATCTTGATACAAAATGTATAAAACATATAATATCTCACCATGTCATTAGTCTACAGATTCCACACTCCAGCATACTTACATATTTACAGGAAAGAGGCAGGGAGATCAAGAGGACTGTGCTGAGATGTTTAGAGAGAAGAATTTGGGATCAAGCTGCAGCATTATTAACGAGGAGAGGGAGGGTAGGGTGGCCCAGAAAACAAAAAAGAGCTGCTCACATGAGTTTTGAGAAGAGACGGTGGAGAAGACACACACACATTCCTAATTTCTTGCCTTGGCTTGATAACACGGCTGCAAAAGGTAAGGTTCTTTTCTCTTCCGGTTTTCGGGATCAGAGGTAACCTGGGGGCCTAGCCCAGGTGCTCTCACTGCGTCTGGGAACGAAGGCCAAGGCCCTGGGGAAGGACTTTGGCCACAGCCAACGGCATCTTTATGGATGTCAAAGGATAGCTTGGGAGGGCTGGGAGGAGCAGCAGAGGGAGGCGTCCCTGTGCCGGCTATGCGGGAGACAATGGTGGGAGCCGGTGCCCGAGTGCCTGCAGCTTCAGTGCCTTTGGCTGGGTCACGTGCAACACCAGCGAGGTTTTCCGATGCCACTGGGCGAACGTTACGGGATAAACAAGGTACATATAAGCTGCTGACCTTTTTATTCCCAACTGCCTCATGACGTGGGTTAGAGCTCACATTCTCTCTACCAACTGTCCTGGCTGCACAGTGCTGCTGGGGTTGGGACCAAGCGCCAGGGAATGTGGAACCCGGAAGCGGGGGCCCAGGACATGGCACACCTCGGGGGGCTGATCCGGCTGCCAGGGGGACAGAGATGGGCCGGGGTAGTGAGGGGCTCTGCTGGCTGAGGGTGCCAGGTGGGAGGTAAGGCTTTGGTGAGCTCAGGTAGAGTGAGTCCCTGGAGGGACTGCAGGTGCTGGGGGGCTGCCATGCAAAGCGGTCCTCTCTGGGGAAAGGAGGGCGTGGGGGACAGAGGACCTTCGCAGTATTTTTGAGACACAGTAAAAAGAAAGAAAGAGGAGGGGAAACGGGAAGAAGGACGACCATTAGAAACAGCAGCACAACATGATCTGAAGAAAAAACAATTCCTGACATGACTGTAAGCAAACCCTCAGCTTAGACTCCTCCTGGCTTGTTCATTTCTCCTCAGGATAAAGTCAAGGACCAGATCATACTCACCTGAAAAGGCAGGCTGACCCCCCTCTACGTCACACGACGCTGAGCTCAGCCCAGGTGCTCAATCAGTCTGACACTAGTTCTGGACTGACCTGTACCCGCTGAGACCTCCTGACCCAACAAGGGTGCCCGAGGGCTAAGCGCCAGTGGAAGAAGCCTAAGAGCTCCTGGCCTTCTCCTATCTCCTTTCCTCAAAGACTTTCCACTCCATGCCTTTGGCTTCCAAGGTTTGAATTCCCTCAAATTCTTGAGTGTGTTTCATTCTTTTCCCTTAGGAAATGTAGGACCAGAAGAATCATCAGAGCTGTGTTCACCAGAGGCAAACGTCTCAATTGAGTCCCTAAGATTTAGCACTCAATCCCCCAGGCATAAGTTAAAGCCCACCAAGAAGAGACTGCTAAGGACTTAGAATCCATGAGTGCTCTTGTCTCCTAGGAAACAATTTGATGGAACTACTTATTAGAAGGAAGACAGTCATGAGATTAAAAGCATATTGTCTCCTATTTTTGATGCACCCAGAACAAAGGGGCCAGGCCATGAAGCAACTGACTGGCCAGCTGGATTGGCATCTGACGGCGCCTGGTTTACCTGATTTCAGTTCATTCCCCATCCCCATCTGGCCACGAGGCACAGACAATCCTAGAAAAGGGTAATCAGCCTCAGGCTCATGGTTTATGTGCAAAGCTCTGGTTCCAGGCTCAGAGCTAGAAAACTGCAGCCCTCATCTCATTTCCTCTCAACACAGCCCTTAGCTCCTCCTTGGGGCTCAGTGGGGCAGAGGGGTGGGGAAAGGGATAAATCTCCAGATGATCTTCATGTCAAGGAGAGCCATCTATGAACCTATGGTTCAACTGGGAATTAGGCCATAAGGAAAGTTTATTTCCTGGATTTGTGTCCCCGCAAAATTCATAAGTTGAAGCCTAAACCCCAAGGGATGGCATTTGGAGGTGGGGCCTGTGGGTGGTAATGAGGGTTAGATGATGTCATGAGGGTGAGACCCCCATGATGGGACTGGCATCCTTATAAGATAAGCAAGAGAGACCAGAGCCCTCTCTATCAGGTGAGGACACAGGGAGAAGGTGGCTGTCTGCACTACAGGAAGAGAGCCCTAACCAGAATCCTAATGGACAAGCACCTTGATCTTGGACTTCCCAGCCTCCAGACATGTGACAAATAAATGTCTGCTGATTGAATCACCTGTCTTTGTTATTTTCTTACAGCAACTTAAGACACCCAGACTTTCTTCACTGGCCCCTATCTTTAAAGATCACCCACTATGAGAAGAAAACCAGAACCTTCCACTAAACTGCACAGGTGAGGCAGAGTTTGGATGGTAAATGGATTATAACCCTAAACTGGGAGGGTGCAAGGGTGTGGCCTATTTAGGGGTTATTTTGTATTTCCTTTTTATTTTTTGCAGAGTGCAGGCAGCAAGGGGAAGGGATGTTAGTGAGGGTGAATAAGTGAAACAAAGTATGGGTCTGGACTATACTATCAACCGAGAGACAGTAAACAATCTACCCCTTAGGTTAACTAGGTTAACTTGATGCCTATCCTTTCCACAGGTAGCCCAGGACAGTGCCTGTCGAATGTGGCCATATATCCACCAACCAAAAATACAAAATGTATTTTCAGCCACAGGCAGGAGCAGAACCTTCCAGATGTACACTCTCTTGGTGAACTTAGGCTGGAAGTTGGGGTGTGCTCATGGATTAAAACAATGTTCTCTAGAAACAAAACACTTGAACGAGCATGCACCAAGGCGAGCTGATGTTGGTGGTCAGGGAGGTAAGTAAAAGGCAATTTTGAGTGAGGTTCAGAATTATTTTGAGCTCAAGTGTCCCCCATGAGATTCCTTCTGGTCCAAAGATAGCAATTGGTTTCAGTGAGTTTTTAACTTAATGTGGCTGTGTCCATATAAGGGGCCAGGGCTGAATTACATCAGGCCTGAAGCTTCCCAGGGCCCTGACCCTGTGGAGAGGACGCTTCCCCAGAGCTCTGACAACATGCTTGGAGCCAAGGCCTTCCTGTCCCGGGGCTCCTTTTAGCTCCAAGAAGGAGGAGGGTAGGCACAGTCGCTTTACATGGAAGGAACTACTTTCTCTTTTATTGTAAACACGGTGGGAACCACCTAGGCAGTTGGCACTTCTCCCCAGCTAGCTACTAATGAAATTCCATTTATCTTTTTAGAAGATGGGACAGTGAAAAACATGAAGCTCCTAGAAGAATCTGCCATGATCCTAGTGTATACAGTTTCAGAACTACCAGTCCCTACTGCACCGGGGCTCACTACAATGATGCTGTCAGAGATGGGAAAGCCCTGGTTGCCTGTCCCCGGGGGTAAGGTGAGGAGGGCCATGGGAGGAAAGGCAGAGGTGGGAGCAGCAGGACACAGGATTCCTCTCTGGCCCATGAGTCCCTGGATTCCTCCTTAGGAGAAGATGCTAGGCCTGCAGGGGTCTTAGAGCTGTCTTCGTCTGAAACCAAGCCAGGGCAGTCAACAGCCCAACTACCCAAGTTCCATGTAAATCAGTGTATTCTATTAGTTCTGGCCATGGCTATGGAAACAAGAAGTCATTTTTACATTCAGAAAACAAACCTATGACCTAAAGGCTCTTGAAAGCTGGATGGTCAACTTTACACTGAACATACAGAAAACCTCTTATCTCAGCAACCTGTCAGGTATCATTTCAGACACCCTAGTACAAAGAAACTTCTCAGACAGTAAGAGATGAGAAGATGCATACACAATTCATAGGTGCTGTTACAGAATGGTCATCCTTGCCATGAGGCTCACCCTCACAAACTCCTTGAGAGCAATGTTTCACACAGTGATCTGAATGCAACAAATGCTCAACAAAGTTGCCACAAGTAAGTATATTTAAAGGGGATTTTTGTTCACTTGACATGCTCTTAAAATCCTCTCTTTAGAAGAACTGTTTTAAAAGCCAAAAGGACTTAGTGAGCTACCCTTTGGGCTAAGTCACTGATAGTGGAAGAGGCTGTGCTTCTACATGTGCCTGGGGTTAATTAGCACTATCTCCTACCCCGGGTACAGAGCCAACTGTATCCAACCTGGAGAGTGCCGAGAAGGAACGGTGCCCGCCACCAGCAGCGGACTTAGATGCTTGGAAAGGGCTTAGAAATGATGGCACATCATTTACTGGACAAGGGACCTCCCACGTCCCAAGTCTAATGAGGCCTTCAGGAGACCAGACCCATCTGCAGCTCCTGGTTCTGATCAGTGGCCCCGCACCGGGGTTGGGGGTATGGGGGGGACTTTGATCAGGGAGCGGGGTGCTGAGTGGGGCTGCACACAATTCAGCAACCTCCTTTAAGCCTGTGGAGATGGGGTTCTGCAGATGGGAGGGAAGGCATCATCTCTGACTCAATTTCATTCCAGGGACAAGTGCAATTTTATGTCCCCATGAGCAGAACCCAGAGAATCACTGGAAAAGCAGGGTGGGAAGTAAGAAGGCATGTGGATTCCCTGGGTTCCTGGGGAGTTCTGGGAGCACATGCACAGAAGGCAGGCGTGGGGAGGCGGACTGCGTATTTTTCACAGCTCTTTTTAAAAGAATGGATTGCTCCGTTCGATGGCTGTTCCTCTGCTATGTAAAAACACTCTTTATGGATTGCCTGAATTACAACAGGGTCTATTCCTTTCATCAAGCTGGCAAAGTAGCAACAGAGGAGGGGGAAGGAAGAAAGATCAGGAAAACAACTTTCTCCTGAAAGATCAGGAGAAAAACTTCAGCAAAATTATCCCTCCTTCCATGTGTACCACATGGGGGATTTTCCTTTGTAAGGTAGCGCTAGGCAGTTTAAAGCCATTTGAACTTCCGTCTGCTGCTTCTAGGTTGCTAGATTAAGCGCTGGCTGCAGCTCCCTAATCTAAAAGCAGTAAGGACAGAGTTGCTGGAACTCGCACAGTTCCAACTCCAGTAAATTAACGGACTAAACACAAGAGTGCACTCCCTTTTTGAATATTATACTCTAAAGCGTTGTTATAAAACAGGCTCAGACCTTTTTTCTGGCTTGGCATTCCCTCTTTCAGATCATTTCCGCACACGTTTCAAACCTAGGAAACACTGGGCTGATATTTCTGATGCTCGGTACAGATCAGCCTCACCCCCATGCTTCTGTTTTCCTTGACTCCAACTCCTGTCTAACTCTGGTCCTCCTGGCGCTTTCCCAGAGTTGACCAAAAGTGCGACCCAGTCCATCATCCAGCTGAGTGAGCGGGCAGGCACAAGTGCAAGCTATCAGCTCAAGAGTGGTCCCCACCCTGCCCTTGGGCACACGCCTACCTGGGGCTTGCCGGAGGGAAGGATGGGATGCACACTTCGGTAGCCCTTGGCAGCGAGTGAAGAGGGCTGTGCATTTCCATTGGCATCGGCATTGGAAGAAAGCCTCCACTCATCTGAGGGATGAAAAAAAAAAAAAGAACCCCTCACTCTCAGGAACATTCTTGGTTCCCTCTGATTGAAGGGTTCCCAGTGGAAGGCAGGGATAGAACAGATACAAGAGAAACCATACCTGCTGAGGAATTCTCTGACTCCAGAACTACATGTGGCGCAGAAAGGAGGCAAACAGGCAGAAAAGAGGGAAAACAGAAATGGTTACGTTTGCAGGGAACAAGCATGCAGTACTCAGAAAGACAAAAATCCAGTGCCCCGTTGCCTGACACAAAATGCCCTCAGTCACGATGGCCTAATTACCATAGGAACCCACTCTAAGCCATGATGTGCTCACAGGCGCTGACCTTTGAAAACACAAGGCTCACATTCACAGTAATGAAGAAACAATTGTTCTTGACATTCTTACTTTACAGACAAAAAGGCCACAGAACTCTCCTGTCCAGTCCTAACTCACTGACCTGCACTCCCCCATTTTTAAGCCTGATGTGGGCTCAGAATGACCTCCCCTCATTAGCAGGCTGCGCTAATGAACAGACCCAGAGAGGGAGACATCCATAAGCACTTTTTCCACAGCTGCTGGCGCTACGGGACGGGGAGAACGCGATTTAAGCCCAGAGGTATCTGCTGTGATAAGGGCTTTTCTCTCCCTGCCTGCCTTTCTTCTTTCCATTAAACAAACTCCATAAACATTTCAAAATCTAATCATCCTGAGTTTTCATCAGACTAAAGGCACCCCTGTCTCCCTTCAGCCAGCTACCAACCTGCCCTCCATCTATCGCCTGGCGCAGCTCAGAGACCCTAAGTCTCTTCTAACCTGACCCACTTAACAGCGCAAGGCAGGAGAGCACAGTGGTTCCAAGCTTGACTGGGAAGGCAACTGGACCTCAATTCAAATCCTGGCTCCTCTGCCTATGGGTTCTGTGGCCCTGAGCAAGTTATAAGCCTCAGTTTTCCCACCTGAAAAATGGGAATAATGATATACTTGTGCTGTTTTAAGAATTAAATGATATAAGCATGAGAAGTGCTTAGCACAGTGCCTGGCAGGGCTCATCAATGTGTGTTATTTATCACCATCTTCTGCATCAACTCTTGTGTCTATTCCCTATCTTCTATGTAGCCCAGGGGTCAGCAAACCTTTTCTATCAAGGGCCAGTTAGCAAATACTTTAGGCTTTGAGGGCCACATGGGCCGAGTCGCAACTATTCAACCCTGGTGCTGTGGTACAAAAGCAGCCACAGACAGTATCAAGTGAATGGGGTGGCTGTGTTCCAATAAACCTTCATTTATGGAAGCTGGAATTTGAATTTCATTTAATTTTCACATAGCATTCTTTTTAACCCCTAAACATATAAAAACCCAGATGCAAGGAAAAAACATCCTTATGCTTTCTGTCCAATTGTGGCAGCTCAGTTTGAATAGGGAATTTTTTTTTTTTTTTGGCAACTCAGAAATAACCCTGTGAACAGTAAACAAAAGCCTGCTTTACTCCAAAGAAGAATTTGAGTTTACAAGTATTGGAAAATTACTTCCCAATACCCTTGCCTTCTGATTGATTCCACTTTTAAAATCCCAAGAGTTCAGTCTAATTAAAGGGAAGTCAAAAAATAAATACACACACACACACACCCCATTCCAGCTGCATAAAAACAAGCATAGGCCAGGTTAGGCCCAACCACCAGTTTGCCAACCCCTCATAGACTCAATCCCTCAGTCTCCTCCTCCTGGCTGCCGCCTCTTATCTCATCCTATATAAAGAGGGGAATAATACACTGCAGCTCTCACAGCCCACGGCCCCATTTCAACGTGGGTCCCTCAGGGATTAGAGATGTGTCTTCTGGATGTCTGAGATTTTAAAAAACTATTTACAGAACACCTTTCTAAGTGTCAGATGCTGTTGGCCACTTTTACACATATTTAGTATTTAATTCAGTGTACACAGTCTGTGAGGTAGGTAACCACTCTACTTCATGGATAAAGAAACAGAGAGGCCAAGTGACTTGCCCAAAGTCACAGAGCCAGGAAGTGACAAAGCAGTCAGCTCAGGTCTCTAGAATCAAGTGCGGCACTCTGTCCACCACCCACAGCCACCAGTCCCACCATCTGCCACAAAGCCAAGCCTGCATTCCAGGGAGGTGGTGGAAGCCAAAGAGTGTGAGGACAAAAGGCCGGGCAGGAGAAGGGTTTCTAGTGATCTGCATCCATGTACAGCAGTCTAGCTGCATCAAGAACAACCAGGAATGCCTGTTAAAATACAGTTCACGGGGCCCCATCTCAGAGTTTTTGATTCAGATGAGAAGTCAGGCTTGAGAATTTACATTTCCAACAGGTCTCCAGGTTCTATTAAGGCCACCGGTCCACAGCCCAGAGCTCCCTTTGAGAATCACTGCTATAATAATGTATACTCAAAAACATCCTTATACTGGGGAAATGGTTATTTTTGCAAATTTCTTCCTCCTCTGAAGCAAAGTTTTTATAACCCGTTCCAACTGAATTATTTTTTCAGCAGATGGCCTGTCACATTTCTGCCACTACCTTAGGGACAGTTCCTAGGTATCTGTCTTCTTGTCCCAAACACGTAGTTGGGAAATTTATAGGACTTGATTTTTACTCATGTTACTGCAACATACAGGCTTATGTGATCAAGGCCAAGTATAATCTTCACTGCCTCGCACATCTCACAGGGTTGCTGAGGTCAGGGATGGGACGTTTTAAAAGTGACCATTTTTAACACTCACTGGTGTATCTATCTGGATCTCTGGCCCCGAGATTTCCTTGCACACGCAGGCCTTCAAACATCAGAGGACACATTGTGACAATGGTTCTCCTTCCTCCCCCGTATCTATCACTTTTACAATCTTATCCTTCCTTTCTAGGTTATTTCTAGTCAGGTTTTGTTAAGTCATTCTACCAAATCTATTAGATTGACGCACATACTAAATGTCAATAGGTTCTGAAGAGGGGCTATCAATAAAGGATGTGAACTTTGTACATGGATGTGGGGGCAGGTTATTTTGTCCACTCTGTGGTTGGGTTGGTTCTATTCAGGTGATGCTGGCTCACACAGATGTGTCATGGAAAGCCAAGGTAAGTCTGTTCCTCCAAACCCCTAGGTATCATAAAGGGACCATCACTGTTGAATCAGACAGCCTTGTTTGAGTCCTGTTTTGCTCACTTCATATGCTGAAGCAAGGGACAGAGCCTCTTATGTGAAATGGGAGATTATCTCTTTTAAATATTTACTAATTTTATTTTGGCTGCATTGGATCTTTCTTGCTACTGGGGGACTTTTCTCAAGTTGCGGCAAGCAGGGTTCCTCTCCAGTTTCAGTGCACAGGCTTCTCACTGTGGTGACTTCTCTTGTTGCAGAGTACAGGCTTTAGGGCACAAGTGCTTCAGGAGTTGCAACCCCCCAGGCTCTAGAGCACAAGCTTAATAGTTCTGGTGCATGGGCTTAGTTGCCCTGAGGCATATGGGATCTTTCTGGATGGGGAATCGAACCCCTGTCCCCTGCATTGGCAGGAGGATTCTTATCCACTAGACCACCAGGGAAGCCCTATCTATCTCTTGAGTCACAAGGACTGAATGGAAGTATCTGGCATTAAGTATATGCTTAGTAGGATTGGAATCCAAAATATAAGGGAAAAGAAATTTCCCAGACATAGAAATTAGAGTGGTTGACTTCCGCCATTTGATAAGTAGTCATAAGAACATAATATCCTCAGGGATCAACCCACTTTTTTTTTTCCCCATTCCAAGTCTTTAAGACTGTTCCCCTATCCCCATCCCCCAAAAGGCAGTTCCCAGGACCCTACGGAACATTCCTTTCTTCCTTAAAAGAGCTGTGTTCCTGACATTTCATCATCTTTCATCTGGTACCGAGTCTTCTGAACCTTCAAAGCTGGTAGGCCATTTGTGTCTGAGTGTGACAGGTGAAACTTTATATACATGATCATCAATTATTAACTCTTGGTTAGGTAGACTGTCAAAGATGCTTCTCTCAGTAAAAGTTGGCTCAGAGTTCAGAGGTGGAGGAGGGGCTTAGAAAGCTGGATCCTCAGTAGACTTTGCAGTTCTGAGGAGACTGAGCCTTTTCACGAGAAGTTTAATTTATTTTGCTTTATCTTTTCCTCCATCTGTTCTTGATATGCAATCTTTTCTGGTCCGTGGCCACAGCTTACTTATTTTCCTTTATCTCATCCTGTGCTAATTTCATTTTGGTCTATTGTAAGGTTGTTTGGCTGATCACTTCTTGGGATCTCAGGACACTTTTCATTGAGTTAGTTCTGTTTCCCAGTAGAGTATCCAAGAGTTAGAGGAAAAGGTGTTAAAAGAGGGTCTAACAGTGTTCCAAATCTTATTTAATTTTTATTAATGCTGTGTGGTAAAGAATTTACCCCTCTACAAAAGGAGGGCTGGCATTTGCTCTCTGGCTTCCAGGAGTTAATCTCTAAGAGCCTGGGATGTCATCTTCACAGCACTGTGTCTGTACTATGCCAACAGTGTGACTGAGGCTGGGGGACTTTTGAGTCCACAGCTAATGGACTGGAGAGTGAAGTGAACCACTTGGGCAGTGGATGTGTTGTGTGTCAGTCGCTCAGTTGTGTCCAACTCTTTATGACCCCATGGCCTGGAACCCACCAGTCTCCTCTGTCCATGGGATTCTCCATGCAAGAATACTGGAGTGGGTTGCCATTACCTTCTCCAGGGGATCTTCCCAATCCAGGGATCGAACCTCCTGCATTGCAGGCAGATTCTTTACCATCTGAACCATCAGAGAAACCCCAATGTAATAGAGCCCAAAAAAAACCATGGACACCACAGCTTGGATGACCTTCCTGATCAGCACTGCTCTGAGGATGTTCTCACATGCAATGCTAGGAAGTGACGCATCCTGACTTCACAGGAGAGAACCCCGCCAACTCTATGCTTCCTTCTTCCCCAGACTCCACCCTATACACTCCTTCTTTTAGCTTATTTTAATCTGCATCCTCTCACTGTTCAC